GTTCTTTGTCATGAAGTATCTTGTTTCTCCATTAAACTTGAAAGAAAGTTTTTCTGGGTACCTCAATCTGGGATGAAAGTTGTTTTCTTTCAGGGTTGAAATACTTCACTCCACACTCATCTTAACTTGGGGATTTGTGCTGAAAACTTTGCTGTGATTCTAATGGGCTTCCCTTGATAGGTGAGTTATATCTTTTTTCTAATAGCTTTTAGCATTTTGTTTTTATAATATATATCTGGGATCTTAATTGCTATATGTCTGGGTGTAGATTTATGTTGGTTGTGACTGTTTGACATCCTATATGCCTCACTTATCTGCATATCAGATTTTTTTCTCCATGTTTGGGAAACTTTCTGCTTTTACTTCTGTGAATAGTTTACAGATGTCATTTGCATTGACTCTTGCATCTTCATTGATGCCCCAGTATTATATTGTCTCTCTTAGCAGCATCTTGAAGCTGCTGTATTGTCATCTCATGCTACTTTGTTATTTTTATAAGTTCTATCCTTTTACGATTGCTAACTGTGATCATGATCTCAAGGTCTGAAATTCTATCCTCAGCTTCATTTAAAGTTTTACCAGCTTTCAATCGAGGTTTTTGGTTCTTGGATATCTCTTTGAACTTGTTTCATGGATTCTGCTTGTTTTCTACATTATTTATTTAAGGTTTCAATCAGGTTCCCATGCTCTTGTACTTTTTTTGTCTATGTTTTCTCTAGCTATACCGAGCAACTCCTTTACTAAAGCTGTTATTTATGTCTTTATATGAGAACTATTTCTAATTTGATTTCCTCTATAGCCTCATGGATTTGTTTATTTCACTTGCTATCTTTTCAGAGATTTCAGGTATATGAGTTTTAAAGTCCCCTATTTCAGTATCTCCTGTGTTTGCTCCTGATGGACTAGATGTTTGAGACTGCATTTTGCTTTTTCATTTTGTCATTTTCATCTTTCAGGCTAATATTTGGTCTCACAATTCCATGATTTCAACTGTTGGTAGTGTGTATCTTAGGGTCCTACTTTGTGGATGATGTTTGTTTGATTGCTGGGCACCACAATGAAGAGGAGGGGCAGTAACCTGAATTCCTCCTGCAGGGCCTGTTGAGTGAGTTCTATATTCCTCTTAGGGTGACTACCCTGGGAGTAGGGTACCCTGGGAGCAGGAACCCTTAGTTCCTGCTGTTACTATGTCTTTAGGTTGCCCCAGCACACCAGATTTCCCTGTCTATAGTGTTTGCCTCAGCTGGATGTCATTGGGTGTCTCATAGCTCTTTTAATTTTCTCAGGTTGAGGAAGGCTTTATTGGCACATTCCTCAATCTACCTGATATTCTCTGTGTGGAGGAAGGACACACCCACACTCTTGCCAAGCTCACCAAGGTCCTATAGCTGGAGGGGGCTTTACTAGAACTCTTTTTTAGGGGTGAACTCACCACACTGATGAAAGCCTGCTGAGGTCTTCTTGTTTTGATGAGGGGTTACTGAGTCTTCCATCAACCCAGCACAGTTAATCCACCTCAGTCCAGGGTTCTGGGAGGAGGAGTGGGAGTGGAAGGTCAACAGCAATACTAGGTTCAAGGGATGTGTGGGGTCCCCAAGGAAATCACAGTGTGGCATGGAAGTGGCTCACCCCTGTGAACCAGTGGAGGTCCATGGGGGTCTAAGGAGGGTGGCAGGATTGTGGGGTGCCTCATCTAGTTGTTTGCCTTGACTTCAGAAACATTTATTTGTTGTGCCCTTAGATGAATGAATAAGTTCTGGACTTTCCCTAGTGTAATTTACATTTGTACTTAAGTTGTGTTAGTTTTTACCCTTTAATATACTAGGATACACAGATGTAACGTGTAGAATCCATCACCACTGGAGAATTTATACTGCATGGATACCACAAGGCAGTGCAGATTGTAATACTTCACTTTAATGTCTTCTTTGTTCACTAGGGCAGTAATGGTTCCTTCTGGTTACTGGTGCAGTAAAATGCTTCAGCACTTTCACATTCTTATTGCACACAGAAGACACTCAGTCTCCCCACCTGGTCCATCCCTGTGGCACCAGCACTGGCTCCTTTGACTTTCCTCAAGGGAACTGGGGAGGAGAGAGCTTTGGGAGCTTACCCTTCAGGCTTTGTCCTAGGGGTGGATGACAAGATGTCTGATTCACAGACAGAACTACCATACTGTTTTAAATCATTTTTTAATATGTAAAAATATTATACTTTGAAAACAATTATGAGACACTTGCAAAATACACAATAAAGAATATTTTAAAATCCACAATTTTATCACTTAGATGCAGACATGATTGGTTTTTAAAAAATTCAATCTTTATATATTCATATGCATGTGTACATATATGTATATGTTTTAGGGTTATTCATTCTACAGTTTATTCAGTGTTACCTCACAAATATTTGTTCAAATCAGAAATAAAGCATCAAAACTTCTTTTTGCACATATTTTAAATGTTTCATTATATTTTTTAATCATCACACTAAGACTGAACCTGCACATTGCTCTGAAAATTTTGTACTGCAGTTATTGTGCCTTACAAAACACCTCTTATCTCTGATTATTTTCTCAGGATAAATGCCAAGCAGTGGAAATAATGGGCCTCAGAGAAGAAACAAAAAATCTTTGAAGACTGACTCAGTCCCAGCGTGTTCTTCACACTGTGAATTTGCTGATTGTGAGATCTATGTGAAAATTCCTTTAAGTTTGAAAGGAGAAAAATGATGCTTTATTGTCTGATTTGGGGGAGGCTCTGAATGAAGTTTGACTTTAGAAAAAATATTATTTTTCATCCTGTGTACTGTCTGTTCACTTTTCTTTATTATTTGTTATTTTTTTAGGGGATGGGGAGTCTGTTTTGACACAGGGTCTCTACAGTTCAGGCTGGCCTTGATCTCACTTTGTAGCCCAGGGTGGTCTGAAACTCACACTGATCCTCCTGCCTCAGCCTCCCAAGTGCTGGGATTGCAGGCATGCACTTCCACATCTGGTTTTATTTGTTAAATTGTGATGTTCATGTTTTTCTTAGTTTTTGGTTTGGTAAGAAAGTATTACATTAGTCATTTCATTGTCATATTTATTGCCATTACACATTTCTAATTTGTCACTTGTTTCTAAACTATATGTATATGTATATATACCTCGCATTATATATACTTTAAATAAATACATAATTAACTTTATCTACAACCAAATGTATCAGGCTTTTTTTTTCTTGGTGGTCCTGCTTTTATCCTTTGGCTTAGAACATCTGTTCTCATTATGAGATAAGCTATATTTTAGCCTGTATTCCTTTTCAAGACTTTAAAAAATTGTTATGTATTTTATATCCAAATGTTTAATCAATTGTACACTGACTTTGGTACTTGCTTTAAGATGAAGATCTAAGTTCATTTCTTCTAAATCGCTATTATCTCATGGTGGTTCATACTACTGTCCTTACCACATCCTCCCTCATCCAGGCCCCTCCTTCCAGATCCCAGACAAACCCTCACTTGGCTGCCACAGGCCCTCCCCCACCTTGCCACCCTGCTTTGCACAGTCACTGTCTGGATGCTTTCCTAATGTGTAACTTGTTAACATGCATCCTGCTCTTATCTATGAAACCTGGAGGAGGTCATAGTGTGCCAGTCAAAGCGCCCCATTTAGCTTCCCAAGGTTGGATTAGATTTATCACTGCAATTACTCTGAGATAAACATTAACCATTCTAATTGCAAGTTTATGTTCTCATGACCTCCAGAAAACCATCTTTAATGTTCCAGGAAAGTGGCTGCTTGTGAGAAAGGGGTTCTAGGAAAACATGTACCCAGCCTCTCTACCATTTGCCCTCACTTTCACAGGCTGTTCCAGAGTCAGGTTAGTTAGGTCAGTGGATTTACAGATCCTTTGGACCAAAGGAAGTCAATTGTATTGCCCAAAAGCTGCTTCAGCCAACCAAACTTGGTCCAGAACACCTTCTTGATGAGCACCACCTGTGTTTGATCATGACTTCAGTTTCCTATTTGTGGTTCCACAAGCATTCAGCTGACACTAAATTATTGACTTTAATTATCTTCTGTCCTTTTCAAATGGCTCATATGTATCTTTGCATGCCCCATTTTAAAGGATCAGAGGGCAGGGAGAAGCCAGACCAATCATTTAGCTGTGTCTTTTATTTTGCAATTGAGGCAGCTGAATCTAGAGAGATGAAAGAAAGGACGGCCCAAGGTCCTGTGGCTGGAGTAGCTCTCAGGCATCCGAGGTGCCTTTCCTCTCTTACATGCCAGCCTCCTACTGAGTTCCAGCTGTACTTCTGTCCTTCTCCCTCTGTAGTCTTTTCCTGGCGATGTCCCCCAACAGCTGCCCATGATCCCAAATAGACTCCCCCACTTGACCTTTCCCCTGAGCTCCGAATTGGTACCTTTGCCTTCTCTATTAAAATCTTTTCTGGTTTCTCTTTTTGTAGCTGGAGCCATCAGCCCCCTTTCCTCACTTGCTCCTGCCCTGTTCTCCTCCTCAGCAAATGACCCTGGGTACAGGTGACCCCCAGCTCCTCTTTCTTCCTCCCCCACATCCAGTCAAGGTCCTGTAGTCTCCACTTCCTTCTCTCTCAACTCTTCCTACACCACTTAACTTCCTCTGCAGGGATTCTGGCTCAAACCCCATTCTCAAATGTGTTAGTCGCCAGGCCATTTGCTGCACAACAGCGAGTGACCAGAGGAGAAAACAAGACTTCACACCAAGCTTTGAATTCAGTCCTTTGGTGGTTTCTGCAGTCCTTCCCAATATGCCAAAGTCTGTTAAGCCATCTATGGGGAGCATTTGCCACCCTTCTCTCCGCCTAATTGACCCCTACGGTTCTCCAGCTGACCCCTACACTCAAAGAATCTTTTCTTGACTTCTCTATGCCCCCAAAGCTTAGCGTGGTCCTCTGTCAAAGGCCCTCCCTTGTTCCCCAGCTCACTCCTCCTGCCTGTCCTTCTTAGGCAGGCAGGAGCTCCTGGAGGCCACTCCTTGTGCCTTCTTCACCAAGTCCATCTACCCACGCACAGGCACGAGGTTTTGGGAAAAACTCCTCACGTGTTTATGGAAACATTAAATCTACATCTAGGGCCTTCTACTACCCGGCTTTGGCCATTCGTCTAGGGAGGGAGGAGGACTGGGCCGCCTTAGGAGGCTTTTCTGTGTAGCCAGCTTCCAAACGTTCTTTCCTCAACAAGGTCCTCGAGGTGGCTTTTCTGAGGCAGAACCCCTGGTGCTGGGGCAGCTGTCCACTCTGGCCTGTCCCTTCCCACTCTCACGGCTCACACAGCCCTTGACCTCTGACTTTGTCTGGCCACAAGCGCTCCAGCACCCTGCGGATGGCGGCGATGACCTCGCGGTTGCGCAGGCTGTAGATGAGCGGGTAGAGCAGCGGCGTGACATTGGTGTAGACCAGCGCCAAGGTGCGGTCCAGCCGCGGAGAGTAGGTGGCCTTGGGCCGCACGTACATGAAGGTGGCGCAGCCGTAGTGCAGGAAGGTGACCGTCAGGTGTGAAGCGCAGGTGGAGGCGGCCTTGAGGCGGCCCGCGGCTGAGTGCAGACGGCGAAGGGCAGAGGCGATGGCCCCGTAGGAGGCCAGGATGAGCATGGAGGGCAGCAATAGCAGCACCAGGCAGGCGCCCAGCAGCGGCAGCTCCTCGGCGTAGCTCCGGGTGCAGGCCAAGTGCAGCAGCGCAGTGATGTCGCAAAAGAAATGCACCAGCAGGTGGGAGCCGCAGAAGGGCAGGTGGAAGACAGCCACCGTGAGCCCCAGCGACACTGCCAGGCCCCCGAGGCAGCAGGCCAGGGCCAGGCGCGCGCACAGCACAGGGGTCACAACGGCAGCGTAGCGCAGTGGGTGGCAGATGGCCACGTAGCGGTCATAAGCCATTGCGGCCAGCAGGAAGCACTCGGCCCCGCCCAGCGCCACGAACATCTGCATCTGAACCGCGCAGCCCAGGAAGGAGATGGGGCTGCCCCTGGCATGGCCCGGCATGCTGAGGTCCGCCAGGGAGCGGGGCACCACCACCAGGGTGTAGCAAAGCTCGATGACCGAGAGCTGGCATAGGAAGAGCAGCATGGGCGGCCGGTTGGGCACCGAGGCCACCGCCACCAAGATGAGCAAGTTCCCGCCGAGGGTGGTCAGGTGCACAGCCAGCAGCAGCAGGAAGAGCGCTGGCCTCAGGTGCGGGAATTCGAAGAAGCCTTGAAGGAGAAAACCACGGGGCAAGCTGACGTTGCCGGGGCTGTCCATGCACGGCCTTCTGGGAGGCACCTGCGAGAGAAAAGAGAGGGAGGCACGCTGACCAGGGCGGCTCCTTTGGCCCTGTCAGCCGGAAGGAGTCATGTGCAATTGCAAGTGCAGGTTGCAGAATGACTGAGCTGGTACTAGTCAGTCAGAGGGGCCAAACGTTCCGCGGTCTGGGTTCCTTACCTCCAGGATTACACGCTGGAGAGCTGCTTGTCTCAACCTGCACTTGCCAAAGAAGCCTCCGTTGGAGCCCATTGCACCGCATTGCTCCCTCCTGAGCCCCACCCACACGTTTGATACCCCTTACTCCGTGGCCTCTACCTGGCCATCAGCCTCGTGTCCACCTCTGCCTAAGTCCCTCTCCAAGGCAGGAAGTGTGCATGTGGTCTTTGCTTCTTCACCCTGCCGGCTTCCCCCTCTGTCATTCCTGAGCCACCTTCTGTGGTATGTCCTGGAATCACTAAACTGTGATGCAGATGAGGGCCTTTGAGAATGTCTCATACAATTTCATCATCTTTTAAAAATTTTTTAGTTTTAATTTTTACAACTTCATAATCTTAAGGAGGAAACTAAAATTGGAGCTGCGTGGCCAGGTGTAGTGCACACCTGTAGCCCTAGCCCTTGAGAGACTGAGGCAGGAGGATTGATGTGAGTTTCAGGCCAGCCTGGGATATAAAGTGAGGGCAGCCTGAATAGCATAGTGAAATCCTATCTCAAAAAACAAAAAACAAACAAACAAACAAACAAACAAACAAACAAAACAAACAACAACAACAACAACAAAAAAAAACCCCACAAAAACTCAGAAAACCAGAAAACCCCAAAGGACTTGGAACTGCAGTTGGGGGTACTGAAGGGTTTGACTGCTTGTAGGAAGTTAGAAACAGATTTTGAACTCCTGAGGCTAAACCCAGAACTTTCCATACCCTGCTGAGATTCTGGAAAAGGGCCACCAGAGTCCACCAGACCATCTAGATTTATTTAGCCTTGAACTGCAGCCCCAGGTCTGTGCCCTACACAGGAGCAGACACTGAGACAACTGTGATGCTTTGTGGGAGCCCCTGACATGTACATCAGGACTGAAATGTCCTTGAGACTCTGATTAATAAATTCTATCCACATGAGAAGAGGTGCTGTTACCTTTCAGAGTGCCCTTCGGCATCTTCTGAATTTGCCAGCAGAACACAGATTCTTTCTAAGCATTGCCCAGTGACTCATTGCAATCCACCCTTGGACAGCAGGGACAGCAGGAAGATCTGCCACACTTCTCAGAATTCTCTGGAATGGAGCAGACGGGAGGTGGTAAGAGACCAGAGCCCGCGTGAGCAGAAGGAGGTTTGATTTTTCCAATAGGTAGTAATGCTGTCTCTTTTTATTCCCCCACCTCCTTTTTAAGCTTCACAGTTATCTTCCCTTAGAATCAGTTTGTAACCAACAGGAAGTGCAGCTTCCCCACAACCGTTATAACGTAGCCTGCAAGAGCAGGTCAGCTAGTTCAAAAGGACAACAGGTAAATTGGATGGAAGAATTAGAAAGAATGCAGATAGCTTGGTATTTGCTATTTAATGCTCACTTTGGAGGGTTTTTATTTATCGGTGTCACTTTTGGCTGTTTTGTGTTGCAACGGGGGGGGGCACAACTTTCAAAGAGAGGAAGAGCAGTACGGATGTTGGGGTGAATCTGAGGAGGTGGAATTGTTTTGTGTCTCTCTGTATTTTTGTTGGGGGCACTGTTTCATTTGTTGAGTTCATCTGACAAGCCTGGCTTGAGTGCCTGCTTGGCTGGGTGCTAGCTGTAGGTGTGAGTGAGAAGGAGAGAGGTTTTGCTGTTCGGGGTTCAGGCAGTGTAAAACTCCTGCAGTGTCCACCACAGCACCCACTTGCCTTCTTCATTTTGTTTTTCATCTCTTCAAAGCAGTGGGGTGGGGGGATGCCGGGAGGAGGGGGAAGAGACACCAATAATTCAGTTCCTTTCCTCCCTGGTCATGCTGCCCAGCAATTTCAATGACAAGGAAGGCTGGGTGATGGCCTTGATGTCTCAGAGCTCAAGAAAGATCATGCTTTAACAGCAAGGCTGTGTGAAACCAGGCAAAGGTTAATCAAATTGAGGAGGGGTGATTCTGCTCGGCTTAGTCTTCAGGACAGTGTTTCCAGCTCTTGGAATGCATGCCAGAAGTGCCTTTGCCATGGGAGGGAGAAAGACAACAGATCCTTTCAAAGCTTCAATGACTCAGGTCTGGTTCTTCCTAGCAGAAGACGGTACAGAGAGAGAAAACACTACGAAGTCTGCCTGCCCCACCCTCCACTCCCTGGGAAACAGATTTACTCCTTCTTTCAGGGAATTAATAACATCAGTTGTGATAGCCAACACTTAAGAGTATGCCAGGCACATGCTTATAAGGAAATTAACATTTAACTTACCTAACCTTAGTGACATTCCAGTGAAATAATGGAACCTTACTATACCCATTTTATAGGTGAGGATGTTGAGGTCCAAAGAAATGAAGCATCATACTGGTCATTAGTGGTAAATCTAGATTTCACCTAAGCAGTATAGCCCCTGAAGTCTGTTCTTACCCACTATGTGGTCTTTATTTATTTTTGGTATGTAGTCTTTATTTTTAAGTCTCCCCCAATTCCCTCATAGTCCTACTCCCTGACTATACCTTCCACCTTTCTCAGTCTAAAAATAAGCTCTAATCTTCTCACCATTTCTGTCCTCAGATTTCCCTTACCTGACATTCTTCTTGAAAAAAATGTGGATGAGAACAGTAATGCAGATAATCGAAGGTGGCAAATCTTAAAATAATTTCTCCTTAACTTTGACATTCATCAGTGTTCTTTCTATTGATCTGACAGATTCTCTTTTCTAATTGATTGTATAGGGTTCCAGAAGCACCCACAAAGTCATGGCTGGCTGGTGACCCAGGACATTTGGATGTGGCTGGAAGCCTCACTGAGCTGGAGATAACGGATCTGGGACTCAGTTTTGGCTGTGACAACATAATTATATTGTCACTGGGCATTTCAACAATCAATCAAAACACTTTGAAAAGGAGCAGTAGAATGGATGATATGCAAGGCAGACAGGTAAAGCACCTCATAGGACAGTGAGCTGCACTAGGGTATAAAAATCTCACAGCACAGCAAGTGCAGTTCAGAGAGGTCACTCGCCAGCCTGGGCTCTTGCTGTTGTCGGTAGACAGAACTGGATAAGAGCCAGTTGTCAGTTCCCTTGGCTGAAGAGAGCTATTTTTGTGATCACTGTCTTCCAGGTAGATCTAAACCTATTGATCTATTATGGTTTACACAAAGTGCTAAAAGAAAGGTCATGGCAAAGTTTTATTTTTGTCCTGTGGGAAGTTAAACTTCAAAGGATATATATATATATATATATATATATATATATATATATATATATATTCTGGGCTTCTTAACTTCACTTAGTAACGTCTTGAAGGCCTCTGGTCTATGGATTTTTATATAAATTATAATGCAATCTTTTTTTAACTCAGTGCTTTAAAACAGAGTACACACTCAAATATGACATTTTCTATTTTTTAACTACAATTCTTGTTAAGGAAAAAGGGTCCTCCCAGGTTAACTTTTGCCCTGCGTTTTTTGGATGCTTGATTTTGGAGGGGAGGAGAAGTTAGTTAACTCTCCCAAAGGTTCAGACTCCCCTGTGTTGACTGGGGCTGATAAAATAAGATCGTGATGAGAATTCTAGGAGGGAATTTGTAAAAAGTTTCTAGAACAGACCCAATACATAGTAGGTACACAAGAATACTGGAAGCATTCTTACTGTGTTTTATACTCAATGAGTGGGGGCTATATTTTCTCTGATTATTAGACTTTCCATTATAGAAGCCGCCTTACCCTTGATAGGGCTGTTTCAAGTGATTTCCTAGCACTGTTACTGCCTTTCTGAGGTCTCTGAGGCAGAAGTACGCTTGTCTGCTGGTAGGGAGGTAAACAGACACAGATGAAGATGCCTTCCTCCCTTCCTTCCTTTTTTCCTCCTTTTCATTCCTTCTTCTTTCCTCCCTTTCTTTCTCTCTCCCTTTTTCCTTCCATCTGTGTCTCTATCTTTCCATGTATTTTCCTGTAGGATTCCTGCACAGGCTACGGCTATGAACCTTAATTTTTTATAGCTAAATGAAGATAACGATGTCTGATTTGTGGGGTTGTCAGGGAATTAAACAGATTATAAAGAAAATTCATGACATGGTACTGGCCACAGAGTAAATAATAAAAGCCAATTGTGAACTGTATTGTGATATAACCCTATCTTCTACCAGGTCACATTAACTTTGGGCTCCATCCGCTTAGAGGCTGGCAAATCTTTTCCTAATAAGATAAATTTTACCTTGGTTTAAGACAGATAACTTGGAACTCATGGGCGTATATATGTTTGTTTTGCTCTAGATTTCAATTTATGGTTTTCTGCAATAAATCCTTTTCACTAAAACTCATTTACCATTTTTTGTTTATTTTGTTTGTCACATACACAGCATCTATAATGCCTTTTTTCTCCTCAGTTTGGTAACTGCCTTTCTCTGAAGGACTAAATACTGTTTCTGGATTTAGCAGCTTCATGACGTACGCCCACACCTAGCTGTTCATGAGCTCAGACTGGGTCCTTGGGAAATGTGCCATTTGCCTGCACAGTGTTTAAAACCTTGAAGGCTAAATTTGGCCTGCTATCTTGTGAAAGGGTTATAACACTCTAGATAAAAGAATTCCTCTGACATACATATTGCCTAAAAGCATCTAAGTGGGCTTAGAAAGGAATGTTTGCCTTCTACGACCAATCTTACTTTTCCCTTCTTTATGGTGTTTTTTGAAGTACAGACGGGTCACTACCTATCAGACAAATGAAGTGGCCAGGATGTATCTTGGATCTGCTCTGGGGCCCTTCTTTAAGGTGACGTGATGTGGGCACCCTCATGGTGCTCTCCCTCCAGGACACGGTGTTACTGTGAGTTCTGCCTTTGGATTGATATTTGGCCCTTAAGTTTCCTGATAACTCGGAGTGGCCCATCTTGAAAACACATGCGTTCATGCTTCAAGCCTGTGTTTTTGTCACTGTTGTTTTCCTTTTCCCTAAAAGTCAATGGTGCGATTAGACCTTTGAAAAGTATCATTTAAGTTTTTATGCTCACTCTTATTTTCAGCTAAAGGGGAGCTTTGAAACAGGAACATCTAGGGGCCTGCTGGTTTGAGAGCCGGTTCTCTGCCTTTGAAGTTCTGAAAAATTCTCCACTTGAGGGAAACAGCACCCATTTTAATGAATGTCTGTAGCCCTGGCTTCCTCCAGAGGAAGAGGATAAGCTTGCTTCAAAACTGAGCCCTTTAATGTTTAACATCAAAACTGTCTGGAGAAGAGGCTGCCCCAGTTCTGGTACTGTGAAGGTTAACTTTATCATACCCAATGAATGCTCACTGCACTGCTACATTTTGAAAAGCGTTCTAGTGCTAAGGACCAGTTACTTTGTCTACTTGTAAAATATCAGGGTCTTTTCTCTTAGTAGGAAAACTAGTTTGTTTCTAAAATTTATTTTAAAATCAACTATCATTTTCCATAAAGTTGGTTTTAGTGATTTTGAAAATACTTCTCATTCTGAAAATGTAGCTTGTGTACAGTATATCAAGGGGCTACTTGGAAAGAATCTCTCAGCAAATCTTTCTTTCTTGCTGGCCACAGACTGAGGGTTAGAACAGAGCAATTGGGAGAGGCAGCTGCTTGGATTGAGAAACCAAGCCTATCTCAGGATTCCAGGACATTATCATGCTTTGTTAAAATAAAAAGAAGAAAACTGGACAAACGTGGGACCAAAAAACAAAAAAGCCCGATTTGTTGGGTGAGCCACCTCTCAGAGGAGTGTATCACTGTTACCCTTGGAGCACTGTCTCAGAAAGTTACAGGCTCCTCAGCAGAACTGTGCGTCACCCTGAGCGTCAGGTGAATGATTGTGGCATCAGGAGCTCTTTCCAATGGTACCCTTTTCCACCACTGAATTGCACACTCCTTCGTTTCTGGACTAGACCTGCGTGCTTACCAAGGAAGAGCAACAAATGACAAGAGCAAATGAGAAAGAATGTGTAGTATTCATCAGCTCAAGGCTGGGTGCTGATGGGGGCCCAAATTCTCTTGAGCTGTAGGCTCTGTGATTGTTGTCATTGAGGGGCTGTCAATCACATTCTTTTTCTAAGACAAAGGAAATAAATGGAATCTTCCTTCCTTGTCTTGTAAATTGCCTAGTGGTTTTTTTGTTTGTTTCTAATAGAAATGAGTAATAATCATTGATAGTGGATTTATGAACACTCTAATCTGCTTCTAATAGTTGAAGACAAAGTGGTTTCTTCAATTCTATTCTTATTCACTATATTTGGAAATAAGATACTGTCTGATACGTCTTACTGCAAAAGTCTCTGTTCAGGGTAAGAAGATATGATTTGCCATTTTTAGGTAGAAAAACTGAGGCAATGAGATGCATGTGGGCCAAATCATCATTAAATAAAAATGGAAGCAGAATCTTACAGTTGTGGCATACACAGCTGCCTCAGTTTCCTCTCTTAATGTACCGAAACCTGAATGGTTCCACAGGTCACAGCCCACTACACACTGTGAGCTCTGTGACTTGCTGATGTGGGCACCAGAATCAGTGGGGAAAAGGTGGTGGTATTTTACAAGTTTCATCTTTTAGGGGCAGGCTGAATGGGGAAATGTCTATTTACTTATTTCTATGCTCTCCTCGTGGTGTTTTCCTCCTCCTTCTGCTAATCTATCCCCCAGACATTAGGCTTCTACTTACCTGGCTTCAGGGGAAGGAACGTCTTGGAGATGCACAGAGAGGAGATTCAGCTCACGGGGGCTGGTGGGTGGGAGATCCTAGGCAAAGTGCAGAACAGGAGAGCACAGAGGTTCAGGGAGCAGATGTAGAGGATGAAAGTGTTCAAAGGAGAAAACTAAGAGATGGAGGGAATGTAAGAAGGGAGAGCACACTGAGGGGGACTGGCACAGGCATTCTGATGAGCTGTGTCTTGTCCAAAGTAGGACCTTAGCTTGTTCTATGTCCCTGGAGAGGTGAGGATGTAGGAAGAGGTAACTAAATCGGTTTTTTCCAAGGGGAGGGTAAGAATAATAACACACTGTTTAATTACTCCCCACTAAGTCCCTTCTCAAGGTCAGAGACCTCCAAGGATCTTGGCACACATGCAACTCCCCCGCGGCTATCCAGAGAGAACAACTGTTTCTATCTCAAGCTGCCCCTCTGCCCACAGTGCTGCCCGTCCCATGGGTGCCACTCTCTTTCCTTAGAGGGCTTTTTTTTCTTCTTTGTCATCACAGCAATCCCCACCTCTGTATACTGGACCAAGTGGCACCTCCAGAGCCTCAAGTCAGGCATCTGAGAGATGTAAGATGTGTTAATTTATCATATGTTTAGAGCAGGGAGTTGGCACTGTGATGCATGAATGCATCTCTGAGCTTTCACCATGCTCAAGGACCTCAGGAAACTGCCCTAGAAGGCCTACTCCAAGGGATAATTTGACCCTACAGTATGAATTCCAATTCAAGAAGGCCCTTACATTTGGGAGCAGAAGACATGCTCTGATTACTTTGTCATTCTCCTGCATGTACTGATGTATGCTTAATTCCTAGCACCCCATAGCAGGTCCTCTGTTCTAACTAGTGTACTCTTTCACCTATTAATTTAACAAACGTTTGTTGAATAGATATTATGTGTTGGGCTTTGATCTAGGTACTGTGGTATAGATTAATGAACAAATTCCTGTCCTTGTGGAACTCATTTTTTAAGGAGAGGAGATAGATAATAGCCAAATTAAGTAAATTATATAGTATATTTGAAAGTAAGAAAAATAAAGAAGGAAAAAATAAAGGAGAATTGGGAATGTGAAGAAGTGGCATGTGATTTTAAATAGGATATTTAAAGAGGGTTTTTAGTAGGTGTTGTAGTCAGGGTTGGCAAGGGAATCGATTTAATACATGATACATAATTTATAAGATTATTTGATGACAGTCACTCAAAAAAACCAAATGCTGAAGAGCACAAGATATCTGTCCATGCACTAGAGACCCAAAGAATCCAGCCGAGGGCCTGGATCCCATGGCAATGTCCTGCATAAGTCCAGCTGAAAACCCAGAGTCTATGGCAGTGTCCTCCATGAATCCAACTGGCCTAGATGCCAAGACAATGTCTCATACAAGTCCCTATCAAGGATCTACATTGGAGCCAAGAGACAATGCTTAAAGTAAGGGCCAGTGCTCCCTGGAAAAGAACCACAGCCATTCTCTGCAACAGTGAGGACCCAAGCTCCCCCAGAGATGATAACAGCTGAGTTTATATCAGGAAAACCAGTGTCCCAAGCTT